GATTATAAATTTATATTTAGTTATTCGAATAAAATGAATACCTATCGAAATTTTAATAATTAACAAACCTGTAAAATAAATGATGATAAATTTTTCATTGAAGAAATACAAAACACAACTACATTAATGAATCATAGTTATGTTTTGTAGTTTAATACTTAAAACAATTCAAATTTTAAAATGTAATAAATGATTTAATTTCAAGAAATGTTTTGTTACAAAAAAGTAATTTGAGTTTTTTCTATATTGTGAACAAGGAAATATTGAATTTTTTTCAATTAATTAATCTTTAATTAAGGTTTTGGTTGAAACAAAAAAGTCAGTGTCACGAGGGGGATTCGAACCCACGATCTGCGGCTAAATACACCGCTGTTCTCTTCGGTTGAGGTGGGAAGTTGGTGTCCGAGTGGATCGAAGTCACGATAGCTCAAGTGGTAGTGTAGCGGCGTATCTAGCCGAAGATCGTGGGTTCGAATCCCGCTCGTGACACAGACATTCTTATCTCAACCAAAACCTTAATTAAAGATTAATTAATTGAAAAGAATTTATTTGAATAATCGGATCACAAAACCTAATAGATATAATAATGCATTTTGTTAAACCTGTTATAATTGTGTAATAAATTCACTAATTTCGTGGTCCGCTTGACCAATTAATATTTTACAATTAATTAAGGTGAGATAAAAAAGTTAGTGTTAGTGTTAAGTTAACTTAATGTCCGAGTGGATCGAGTTCACGGTAGCTCAAGTGGTAGAGCAGGCGTATCTAGCCGAAGATCGTGGGTTCGAATCCCACTCGTTCCATTGACTTTTTACCTAATTAATTGATTAATAAATTGTAATACACACGTTGTGTAAACGATGATGACCCCTATTTCTCAAAATCAAGAATAAGAAAAACAAAATTGTAATTATTAACTTCTTTAATTTTTGAAAAAGAAATTGAATACGTAATAAATTCTGTAATTTTCATATAGGGTATTTAAGACCCCGAGTAACGTAGGTATCGCTAATCTGGTGTACCAAAGCTCAACAAAAACAACCTACTCGTACAAAGTGTACAAACCTATGTATCACAAGGGCAATGAAAACAACCCGCTTAATTGGGTAATAATTGGACTAGAAACTCTGTTAAACGTACCTCGATAGGAGATATTTATACAAGGAGAAGCGGGGAAATAGTCATTTAGGCTCCAGAAATATCAAACTGGGTGGGAACTAAACACATCGGCTACACAACAATAATCAATAGTCAGACACTCTTTCTTAGAAATGGCGACTGACCACATAATCCGGCAAAAACTCTTTACAACATCCTACAGTGTCAACATACTACAAAGGAGAAGAAAAATTCAAGAGGATATCAGATACAACGGAAGATGGCTCCAAAACAAATGGACGAACTGGATCAGGAATTTTCTGTCCAAGTTCAAGATATGATCAATCAAACTCATTAAAATCCCCCGGACACAGGCAATCGAAGGAGTTTCTGAAGGAAATCAAACCAAAAGAAACGAAATGGTTACTCTCTAACTCTAGGAGGGGAATAAGGAGGCTGATAGGTATCCTAACGGGCCATTGCCCCTTGAGAAGACACCTCTTCATAATGGGTATTCTACCAGACCCCTTTTGCCGCTTCTGTGAAACAAAGGAAGAAACGGCTCGACACTACCTTGCAGAATGCGATAGGTATGCTAGGGAAAGATTTGAAACTTTCGAAGGAGAGGACATACCAAAACACTCCCCAAGATAAAATGGTCCAAAATCTTTGGGTTTGTGAATAGGTCCAAAAGGTTTATGCAGGACTCGTGAGCCGACCAGGTCCCGGACCTTTTAGGGATGGGGTACGGGCCACCTAGGCTTTTAACCCCTCGGGTCCTGGTCACCCGCCCTGCGTAATATATATATATATATATATATATATATATATATATATAAACTCATTAAAAACCTTATCTTTTACACTGAAATACATGCCATCAATGCCTTAGAAAATCTTAAAAGACTGGTAAAAAAATTATCTCGAAATATGACAAGTAAATGCATCCTAAATAAATGGAGTCTGGAAGGAGTACAATAAGGTAAAAAGCTGCAGTACATAGAGAACTCCTCTACTTCTTGCTATCCATAAAAAAAATATACAAAATCCAAATCCAGGGAAAACGCAACAATCCAAAAATACGAAAAAGCAGAAACATTGCCCAGAGGAGGACTGCAAGACCATATATAAGCCCGAATCTAACTTGATATGACAAAAATAAACATAGAATCCTCCATCTCAGAATGGATAAAAAAAAGAAAAAAGGAGAAATGGATAAACCCTAGAGGTATATGTAATAAGCTTATGTTAAAAGAACTCTCATCAAAACTGGCATACTCATTGCTACAGTTAAAGAGGGCTACAAAGAAGGAATAGGGCTATTTACTGGTCACTGCCATCAGAGAAAACATGTATATAAGATGGGTGTATTCAATGATGACTGCATTTGTAGGCGATGCAATGAGGAGGAAGAAACAGCCACTCACATAAACTAATGCAGGGAAAGGAATTGTAGCACTCAATGGCCTAGTAATTCTTAATGGAAGGTTCGAGTCAATTAAAATGAACTAAGGTACTAAGAAAAGTACAATAAACCAGAAGGCTACAGTGCTAGGACATAAAACACTTCCTAGATTCCCGTCAATATGTCTTCATTATTGATGCAGGATTGTAATTATGTAAAATACATATCAAATTCCAAAACCAAACTCAGCATAGGTACATAGGATTTTGATTTTTACAACTCAAAATTAGACTATCTTCCTAACACTTACTAATAAAATTAATTAATTTGCTGACAGTATTATTATAGTGAAATTTCTTGTTGAGGTCAACAGTTTGGCCATTTAAAACTCACCACTTTAAATGGCAGAATTTTGAAACTCCTGTGATAAAAAACAATAAGGACCTTGATTTTTAATTTAATTAAATTAAGTGTTTAATATATTCCATTATACACAGACCTGGATAGATTTTCAAGTTGTGCAAGAGTTCCAGAAGAATGTGGAATATTACAAAAACATTTTAGTCTCCTTATTTTAGCTGGTTGAATTTATCAAATTGATTTTAGAATTTAGCCATTGTTGCCTATGTTGTAGTGTGGGCACAAAAAATTGATCATTCATTCAGACGGCTCTAAAACATAAAGGAACCGGATCAATAATTTTTGTTCAAGCCCAGGACATGAGCAATCAAATATATTGAGGACCTTTTCAATTACCTTGTACTCTTTAAAAGAAGGATGAATCGAAGGAACTAGGAATATATTAAAAAAAGCCAGAAGGCTCTACTGCCTAGAGAACATAAACCCTTCATTATTTGGTTTTCTTTTATCATCTTCACCTTATAGGGTATTACCGAAATCCTATTTAACTTTTTAATTTCATACATATTTTTTGCGTTTGTTAACTAGATTTGTTTCTACGAAAATTAAAACAGGATTAGCTGAAAATTGCCTTGAGGATGTCAATAAATTTGATGAAACGACGACGCTTAAAAACGTAGTTTTTCTTTTCTTTTACATTCCTTTATTACATTTGGAGGACGGCACCAAAACCGATAAGGGTACGGGAGCTGGAGTCTTCATAATGCACCCTAAGACCGAACTGACGTGGTAAACATCCTACAGCTTTCCAATCTGGAATGCGCCAGGGAAATTAGAAAGCTAGGAATACTTTACCGTAAGATAATAGCCGATTTCTCTGACAGTCATTCAGCACTTAAGGTCCTATCGTCATGCGAAGGAGAAGGCAAAGAATGTTTGGAAATGCATGAAGGCCCAGACAGAAGCCAGTTACACTGGCATTGGTCCCTGGGCACTCGGGACATAGAGGCACCGAAAAGGTTGACGTGTGGCCGACTGGACTATCTGGGTCCTGAACTCTACTGTGGCTTAGCATTCTGCTACAAAAGAGGATAGTTTTAAAATGGAACCTTAATGATTCCAAAACCTGGTGGAACAATACTACAGGTATGAGGCACGCGAAGAAATTCATAGAAAGACCATCTGCAAAAATTAAAAAAGAATTACTAGAAGGCACCCTCAACCGAACTAGGTTTCTTGTTAGACTCCTGAAAGGTCATTACCTCTTAAGAAAGCACGTACTCCGGATAGGAGTACAAGAAGGAAGAGTAGGAAGAAACACTGTGCAGATATTGCCAGGAAGAGAAGGAGACCGCAGAACACATTGTATGTTTCTGGGAAGGTCTATGTAGATGCAGGTTCTTGCAACTAAGACAACAAAAACCGCAAGCAAGTTCTACACTAATGAGCCGCTGGTAAAGCTATGGAGGCTGATTAACAACCTGAAGCTGGCAGTGAGTTATAAAAAACAGGGAAGCACAAGTGATCTATTCAGTTCGAGGTGCATTAGGCCTTGTATATAAGAGGGAAGTTTATGGGCCGACAAACAGCTGAAGTCTTCGCCGGCTCTCTGCGTGTTTTCCTTCTTTTTCTTTTCTTTCGCGCATATTTTGTTTTAAACTGCAGCCATTTGAGCGTCTCGATCTGGTTACTGACTCTCTGATTTCAGATATATACTACGTTGATATTCTAGAATGCTAGTCTCTCGTTTGTACCTCAGGTTGTCAAATACATATATATACATCACCACAAACATAGATGTCTGCTCACATTCACTCCCCCAGAGTACTCGATATTCCTCGAGGCGGGGTTATAAGCAACCCCTTCCTTTCACGCTAATAAATTACTTTTACTCTCCAGACGTCATACATTCACCCCCAGAGTACTTGAGTACCCCAGAGTATTCTTAGGCCTTGTAGCCACCACTTTTATCCCTATCTATATCTACCTGACCGAGAATCGCAATGTTCAAACGAATTTAATCATAACAATGATCTATTGTACCATGTACCTGACTTGAGAACAGTTTTTGTTTTTAATTAACAAAAATTTGCTACATATTGTATATAAATCGAATTGTCTTTTTGTTTTTTGACAGACGTACAATTTGGACGCCCAGATCGGCGAGTCGTCGGCTTGTGCGACAGCCCTCCTTTGCGGTGTGAAAGCCAATTTCGAGACTGTCGGCCTGGACGTGAACGGCCGCTTCGGCAACTGCGCCTCCAGCCTCAAGTCGCGGGTGGACTCCCTCATCGCTTGGGCCCAGCAGGAAGGTAATCCTCCGTCCCAGTCGATTAACTCCCGCCTCAATAACCGTAAATCTAATCCGATCCGGAGCCCGGCTCCGACCTGCCTCTGTAAAAAATTAAATTCCACCAAATTAATGAATTCCTGGTACGACGATGGAGAAGGGTGGAATAAAATTGTTTTACAGGAGGCATTATTTATTTTTATATCGTTCTCCCTTCGGGAAAATTTTATACAATAGCTGTTTTTTATTTGTACCATTAGCATATCGATGGAAAACAATTTTTCTTAAGGAAGCATGAACTTTTTTATAGTATGCCTTAAATCCGACCCATCCTGATATCAAAGTCTATTGGCTTGTGCTATAAAAATAAATATAAAATTATAATCCTTTTAGAGAAATATTGTAATACGACTAAAAGAGCTTTCTTTCTAACATTTTTTATCTTATTCAGTGTATATAATAAGATTGATTCCGTAATTATCTAAACGTCGATTTACTTTGAAATAACGCTTGCATTTATTTAATTTGTCTTTTTCTCCTGTTGAATTTACTAAATTCTTAACAAATGTGACTTGTTAGTTGCCCCCTGTGCGGCGGGACTTGAATGTGAATCATATGTTAGAAGAATATTGTGTGAAAGATCTGTGTGTAGAAGAATGTGAACGACAAGCGCCGCGCAGGATTCTGTGAGGGCCTACTCAACGATAGATCGAAAATATTAAAGCACAACAGTGATTATAAAGATAAACTCCTTGAATATCCAATATCGATAAACTCATATGGTTATATATAACCTCTCGCACGTGGATAAAATGTGACATCTTGTTATGTATAGTGTGAACTGTCTTTGGCGAAATATAAAGTACCCCATCGACCTGTCAGACTAGTTAGAACTAGTTGTTAGTTCAATGAATATCTGTTGTACGAGACATCGGCGTAATATCAATATTCCGATGTTTTCCCAATTTTTATGTCCATCCGCTTTGAAATAACTATAAGAACTATATAACTGTAAGAAAGTATTTATTTGCATGAAAGGTTAAGGGTGAACGGACGGATGTGTGGCGGAATATACGATACCCCACTAATTTTGTTAAACCCAAAATTATTTCGGGTCAGAGCAAAATAATCCTGGTAGCTCGTCGTGAGTGGGGGGGGGGGGTAAGAATGGAGGGACAATTTACAAAATAATAAAAAAGAAATATTAAAGACCAAAGAAATATTGGTGAGTTGGGGCGCCACCCCATGTTATGCCTCCAGAGTAATGGGGAACTCCTCCAACTAAAAGTATATTCTTGTTTATACTCTAAATAAATTTGATAAAAATAAATAAATGTATGAGAGGAAAGTAGTACAATATTTTCTATTAAAAAATATGATTTACTTTATTCCATGGCGGTCACTCCAGGCAAGGCCACTAGGCTTGGGCCTGGTATAAAGCCAGCCTAAAGCCAGAAATACACTTACCCGATGCTACGCCATGCGACGCAACCCGACGCTCTGCGATCCCCACTGTCCAGATTTTCGTCGGGTCGCATCGAGTACAGTCGAAGACAAAAGAACGGGTGACTCATATTTTTATTCAAACTACATGTATTATTGTCGTTATATTAATTACAACATACTTATTTTAATATAAACCAAATTAACTGTGATTAAAAATTAATTAGTTTTTATTTAAAAAATTAATTTTAATGATTTGGTAGAAAATTAATCAATTCACCGGAATAGGATTTTTTGATATAATGAATGTAACTAACAATTTATTGGCGTAATATACTAAAATTGGAACATTTTACACGGTTTTGCTCATAAAATTTAATTAACAATTTATTTCATAGTTTTGCTCGTAAAGTTACACCATTTTTTAATGCCGGGTAGCATCAGAACAGGACACTCATATTTTTGTAGTTTATTTCAAACTAAGTACAGTAATTTTGTCGTTATATTAATTACAACATGTTATTTTAATGTAAACCAAATTAAACGAGATGAAAAATGCAAAGGTTTTTTTAAACATTGTTTAATTATGATGATTAGGAGTAACTTTATTTAAAATAATTAAGTTTAACAAACAATTTATTAGATGGTTGTGCTCATAAAATTTAACTAACAATTTATTACAAGGTTTTGCTCAAAATAGTGCATTAAGAACAAAAGATGCGTTGCGATTGTGATAGTGATTATTGTGATAAACGCTGTGGACTGTACGCGACGTGTGCTTCCAAAACGTGGCAAGGCGTCGGGTAGCATCGGGTGTGTTCCTGGCTTAACACCGCGGTTCCTGATCAGCAACTAAACTTCTCCTTATCGCATTCGAGTTCCCTCTGCTTAAATGATTATTTATGTATTTACGAGGTTCCTGGCCATGCAAAATAATGAAGCCAAAAAAAAAATGTAGGTTAATAAGGAGGGAGAGAAAAAAAATAAATAAAAATCCACTTAACAAGGGGGGAGGGGATTTATTATTCTTAAACAGAGTAAAATTAAAATAGGTACTTTGTTTCCTTAATCAGCTATAAAATAAACTATAAACCAGATCTGGACTAACTTAAAAAAAATTAAAACATAATAACCTAAATTAACAATAATAAATCATTAAAATTAAAACAAACAAAAATTCCTCAATTCAAACCAACATTTTTACTTGGGAATCGTTCATCCAGCCACAACCATCCGCCGAGTCCTGCTGGGTTCCAGTCCTGCCGAAATCCGCTCCAAAAAAAAGATAAAATCTCCGGAGAGTCGGGGCCGCCTCTATATCCTTTCAGGAAGCCACGAACGGACTGTCCTCGCTCGTCGCCGTGGTCTGGTGAGGAAGACGCCCGGTGGAAATTCCAAAAATGGAAAAAACCACGAAGAAAAATCCGGACGAGCTGTTTTCCGGAGAATCTCTATCAGTTGCCCACTCGTAGGTGTTTACCGCACTGTTCTCCTCGGCGACCTCTGGCTCGGTCCAAGCGATCGCGTTATCGCTTAATCCCTGGCACTAAATACACACTCTTAATAATAAACGTAATAATAACACTCATTGTCGATTTCACCAATTTCTTACGTACACTGGTTTTTTAATTAATAAAAATTTATCCATCTTATAACTAGGTTACATACCTCCTTACAAGAAAAGGAAGCTAATCGAGGCAAGAAAATAAAAATTTGATTTTGGGGCAAAAAAACCACTTTCCTCTCTTACAATAATGATATTATAAAAACCTAATTTTTTTTGTCACAATTTGTTTCAACTAGATAATTCAATTAATAAAGTGAATGAGTGTGGTATGATAGGAGCGCAAGGCATCAGCGTAATGTCAATACCTGGGTGCCAACACATTTTTTAATTTTACATACGGTTTGAAAGGCCCTACCTGTAAGAATGTATTTATTTGCATGAGAGTTCCTACTCACTAAGTTGTTTTCAACGACCGGATTTCGAGCTCATAGATCTTCATCAGATAGAAGGAGTTCTACAACGACGTCTCTCTACATGGATTACAAGACTGAACCCCCCAACACGATGTTGCCCAATCCCGGCCAACACGATGTTCCAATGAGAAGATGGTTTTTAGTTGCCGTTTAAAAGGATTTCTATTTATTTACTTGAGTGTTTAGTTTGGATGGACGGATCTGTGGTGGAATATAGAGTACCGCTGTCAAACTGGTTAGTTTAAGTATAGAATAGGTTTTCTTACCCATTGTGTGCGTGCTGGTATAATATTGATTGAATCAGGGCTCTTTACCACGTGTGAGAGGAGACGTTTATTAAAAGAGAAGTTACAAGTTCGATGTATCCGTCACTTCAGCGGAACGAAAATCGCTTATGTACGGGATACTGAGCAATTACAAAGATGGAAAAGACAAAAATGAGAGTAGCGCGGGCTATGAGCGTAGATGTTTGCCGGAAAAAAATGTGACAATTCGAATAATATAAATTACCGCCCAACATCCATTCTACGCTCAATTGGTGAATTAGTCCAATCCGTTTTTTTAACCCCTTTCTACTCAACTTATAATTTCTGATGAACAACACGGCTTTCTAAAGGGAGGCAAGAATAATCTAATCCATAATATGGGGAAAACCCTCCATGTTGGTACACTGTACTCGTATACCAGTTTGTCTTAAAATTTACAAACATCTCAATGAATGACGTTGAATAGTTATAACTAAAAAAAATTCATTCTTCCAAATTAAAAATTTCTTTCTTTAAACTAAGCAATATTTGACGCAGCATTTGACACATCTGATTAATGATTAATGATTTTAAAAATTGATTATTAAAATGAATTCATCACATTCCGAGAGAAATGTATCTTCATATATACAGTTAATATATAGTTTGTACACAAAATGACAAAATTTATGACCTTGTCGCAATTGGTGAGTGCCACATTATAATGTAATTAGGACCACTTCGATATACTGAGTGATACCAACATCCTTTTGGCCCTAAATCTACCAAAAGTATGTTAATGCTTAACGTTAAAAGCAACGTTAGAAATCTTTAATTCGCATGATCACAATTTTACATAGTGGTATAATCGACTCGTTCTCTAGCATTCTGCGTCATATCGTACTTCTTTCCATTTTCTCTTTCTTTTTACTAAGTACAAATACAGTTGTTTTTTATTTATTTATTTAATTTTTTAATTTATTGACTTTTCATTCTCTCTCTCCCTCTCTCTCTCTCTCTCTCTCTCTCACACACACACTCTCTCTCTCCCTCTCTCTCTTTCACTCTCTCTCTCTTACTCTCTCTCACTCTCTCTCTTTCTCTCTCTCTGTCTTACTCTCTCTCTCTCTTACTCTCTCTCTCTCTATCTCTATCTATGTCATCTCTATCTATCTATCTACCTTTCTCTCTATCAATCTATCTCTCACTCTCTCTCTTATCTTTCTTCATAACTTCTCTCTCTCTCCCTCACTCTCTCTCTCTCTCTCTCTCTCTCTCTCTCTCTCTCTCTCTATCTATCTACCTTTCTATCTATCTATCTATATCTCACTCTCTCTCTTATCTTTCTTCATAA